CCCGGCTAATTTTTCTATATTTTACAATTTCTTTTTGGCAAATATTTATTGAGTACTTACCGTATGCCAAAAACTGTTCTTATTGTTGTTGTTGTTGTTGAGACAGGGTCTTGCTCTGTAGCCCCAGCTAGAGTGCAGTGGCATCTTCATAGCTCACTGCAACCTCAAACTCCTGGGCACAAGCAATCCTCCTGCCTCAGCCTCCCAAGTAGTTGGGACTACAGGCATGTGCCACCACACCTGGCTAATTTTTTTCTATTTTTTGTAGAGACGAGATCTCATACTTGCTCAGGCTGGTCTCAAACTCCTAACCTCAAACAATCCTCTTGTCTTGGCCTCCCAAAGTGCTAGGATTACAGGCGTGAGCCACTGTGCCCAGCCAAACACTGTTCTTAGTACCTGAGTTATAACAATGAACAAAACAGACAAGAGTTCCTGCCTTTTGGAGATTACATCCCAGTGTTGGGGTGAACAGGAAATAAACATGTAAACAGTCTAGAGGGGAGGAGATTGGCAATGAACAAATAGTGTAATAACATACTGGATAGTGTTAAGTGCTACGTTGAAAATCTCTCTTTCTCTTTTGTTTCCTTCACATAAGTGGTTAGTGATTTGTAGATGTACCTGAAGTACATACAGATTCTTAATTTTTTTTTCCCTTCTCCTCTTAACTTTGCTGGCCTCTGCCCCTGTAGACCATGCTGGACGAGGATGATGTCAAAGTTGCTGTGGACGTCCTGAAAGAACTGGAAGCTTTGATGCCCAGTGCAGCAGGCCAGGAAAAGCAAAGAGATGCCGAGCACAGGTTTGTCCTTAGTGTCCTATCCTCTGGAAGTTTAGGGTACTGTGACAGTTGAGTTTTGTGAACCAGTCAAGCAAAATTTTGGGCAAGTTTATAGAGTCTGGACTGGCCATGTACTCTATATTTTTGGGTCTATTTTCGTTGCTCCCTGCCAAGAATACTTATGCAGCAAATGCTAAGATGTTCAGAAGATAGAAATCAGGGTTGAAAGAGGCTGAAAACGTTTGTGGTCTGGTTCTTTATTGGCCTGCAGGGATGTCATAGTTATTGAAATCCTAATTCAGTTCTACACTTAGTGGACACCTCCCTACTGTGCTGAGTGCTTGGGGATGCAAAGATGAAATTCTTTTTCAAACTGGTGCTTGTTGATTTGTTTAGGGACAGGACGAAGAAGAAGAAGCGGAGTCGAAGCCGAGATCGAGACAGAGACAGAGATCATCGAGATAGAGAGCGAAACCGAGATAGAGACCACAAGCGGAGACACCGATCCCGCTCTCGATCACATTCTAGGACCCGGGAGAGGAATAAAGGGAAGTCTAGATATCGGTCCAGGAGCAGAAGTCAGAGTCCCCCCAAAGAACGGAAGGACCGGGACAAATACGGGGAGAGGAATCTGGACAGATGGCGGGATAAACACGTGGACCGCCCTCCCCCTGAAGAGCCTGCCATTGGGGACATTTACAATGGCAAAGTTACCAGCATCATGCAGTTTGGATGCTTTGTGCAGCTTGAAGGACTAAGGTAATATTTGGTGCTCTTCTTCTCACACCAGTGATAGGCAGATTTTTTTTTTTTTAATCACTGGGGATTTTTCACATTCAAAAAAGTAATTATGGCTGAGCATGGTGGCTCTTGCCTGTAATCCTAGCACTCTCAGAGGCTAAGGCAGGCGGATCGTTTGAGCTCAGGGGTTTGAGACCAGCCTGAGCAAGAGCAATATCTGGTCTCTACTAAAAATAGAAAAATTAACTGGGTGTGGTGGTGTGTGCCTATGGTCCCAGCTACTGGGGAGGCTGAGGCAGGAGGATCCCTTGAGCCCAGGAGTTTGAGGTTGCAGTGAGCTATGAAGATGCCACTGCACTCTAGCCTGATGATAAGAGTGAGACTCTGTCATAAACAAACAAAAAACTAAAAAGTTACCAGTGAT